TTTTTGAGGCCCCTGGGAATTTCTGTAAATATTTATTGCTCCAAAAATAAAATGAAAGATTTTTAGAAAATTTTCTAGAGCAACACCACAAGGAAGTTTGTAACTAGAGTTTTCTTATTAAATCCTAAGCTGGTACTAAAAAAGCAGAAATACTGTGTATATGTAAGCACTTCCCTTATCCTAGTTGAAAAGTATTGCCATAAATGTTTACAGATTTTATGTTTTAATGGTTTAATAGTGTACTGTCATTTGTTTGCTTGGGGGCACCTTAATTTATTTTATTCTTTACTTTCTTAATGATATTGGCCACCAAAATAGGGGGAAAAAATCCAAGTGGTTTAGAAAGGAATTTTTTAAATACAGTGGAGGACAGATGTAAATTTTTTTTTTAAGTAACCCCTCATCCAGTCCCTGAAATAGAATCCTAAAAATACAGTTGGCCTGCGTGTTGGCTCACAGCAGAGTGAACTCTTGTGCTTGCTCTCAGGGACTGTCAGCTGCTGGCACCAAAGGCTTCTGCACTCTCTTCCTGCAGAAGCTTGTTAGGATTTTGTCTTTCTCTTTTTAAACCCTGTTTGGGGGACTTCCATGGTAGTTCACTGGTTAAGAGTTGGCCTTCCAGGGCAGAGGACACAGGTTCAGTCCCCTGGGCGGGGAGCTAAGACCTCACGTGCCACAGGGCAGTGAAACCTGTGGGCTGAGCTGCTGAGCCTGGGGCCTTTAGGGCCTGATGCCAGCTCGAGGAAGCCCCAGTGCCACAGTGAGGACCTGGTGTGGCCAAATAAATAGTATTTAAAAAAAAGAAAAAGCTAAACCCCATTTGATGGTAAAAATGGTGGGAGTGAGGGAAAGATAGAAAATAGTGGCTTGTGTAGGAGGTCATCCTGATGATATTACACAGAAATTTAATTTGCTGAGAATTAAAATGTAAGGGTAAAATATCTGTTACTGGGGGAGCGGTTTAAAAAAAGTAAGGTCTGTATAGATTCCAAATTACCATGCAATTAAAAAAAAATACCTGTGTGTATTATCTGTTGATAAGAAAAGTCAAAAATCTCCTTTGTATAGGATGTTGCCTTTTGTATGAATAAAGGAAGCTAAGGCTATATATTCATACCCCTTTTTCTTTGCGTAAAAGGCAACTGTGGGTAAATGCATAAATAACTAACAGAAAGGGTTATTTTCCGTGAGAAGGGTCTAGGTGGTAGGAGACTGGATAGATGCAGGACAGAGGTGGGAGCCAACTCATTCCTGAATATTTGTTCTGCATGTATATTAATGTATTATATTGCTGCTGCTGTTTAGTCATTCAATCGTGTCTGACTCTTTGTGAGCCCATGGACTTAGCCCGCCAGGCTCCTGTGTCCATGGAGTTCTCCAGGCAAGAATCCTGGAGTGGGTCGCCTTCCTTCAGGGGATCTTTATGATGCATGGATTGATCCAGCGTCTCCTTCATTGACAGACAGATTCCTTACCACTGAGCCACCTCGGAAGGCCCAGTGTATTAGTGCTACATTACAAATATTCACAAATACTGTATTCCCTATTCACAAAGTGGACCTCACAAACTCGAGGGTGAGAGCAGAAGATGGTGACTGAAAATGCAGATGCCATGGCGAGTCCTGGCTCTGCCCCTTCCCCACTGTGGGAGACCTCATTCAGATGCCCTCTTGTGCCTTCATTTTCTCATCCATAAAGTTAATTCTTGGAAAGAACTCGCAACAGCCTCTGTCATACAGTTTCTGCTGGTGTCATTACTAGTAGTCGAGCACTGATGACCATTCTCATGTTGCCTGTCGAGTGTCTAATCTTTGCAGCAGCTGGTAAATGCATGTGGCTAAGAGCCTGCCTCTGAAGTAGACAGAATTGAGTTCAAGTCCCCAGACTGCATCAGTTCTTAGCAGTGTGTCCCTTCCTTGCATAGATGCTGGAGTGGAATTGACCAGGTTGCCTGCATGGGGAAGGCACCATCCTGAAGTCTTGATGGAAGATGCCGTATTCAGAAAAGCCAGGAGAGGAGGTCATTCATCCTTGCATTTTGATCTTACTGTCTCTGGTCCAGATCTGCATTCAAGCAGGCCCTGTTTTATGTCAGCTCTTCCTAGAACGGCCTGGAGGACTCTGTTCTGGAGGGACTGGTAGGATTGCGCACTGGCCTGGGACTGTCCAGGGCAGGGTACGGATGAGAGCAAAACCCATGGTTTCATTTGAGAATCAGTTAATAATAGAAATGAGAACAGCCTGGCCAGGTTACGCGCTGAGGTTTGGGCTTATGTGGGAGGTGGGCTTCTGTAGTCAAACCAGTGTCCTTGCTTTTTATTCATCATTGTCCCTCAAGTCCCCAGTTACGGATGATGTATCCTTAAAAATTGTCCCATGCCAGCCACTCCCCATCTGCAGGCCTGTCCTCGGAGGCGGTTTTGGGCAGAGGGGGTGGCTCCCATGGTTGATAGAATTGTGGAGCAGTCTTTTCGGGTACCCCGCCTTGGGGCACACACATTTGTGTGGCCCCTGACTATATTTCCCTGGAGTAGGAAATGCAACCCACTCCAGTGTTCTTTCCTGGAAAATTCCAGGGACAGAGGAGCCTGGCGGGCTGCAGTCTGTAGGGTCGGAAAGAGTCGGACATGACTGAGTGACCGAGCATTCACGAAGGCATAACTGCTTGGGCACAGGGCCGTCTCAAGGAAATAACGTATCAGACCGGCTCTGTTAACTGGAAGGAATATGTATCATGCCCTAATGGCTGCAGTAGGTACGATTGTCTTCATTTTAGGGGAATCGAGGCACCATGGTGAAGCACTTCAGCCAAGCAGATCCAGGCAGTTGTGAGGGATGTCAATTATAGAGAGTTCCAAAGAATGGCGGTCCTCAGAGTGAGGGCGGAGGAGGAAGTGGCAACCTGCTCCAGTATTCCTGCCTGGAGAAGTCCATGGACACGGGAGCCTGGTGGGCTACAGTCCATGGGGTCGCAAAGAGTCGGACACGCCCGAGTGCCTAAGGCACACAGGGTGAGGGCAGGGTCTTGGCTTTCTCACCGGATTTGAGCTGTGGCTTTGCCACTGTCTGATGGACCTCACACCAGCGGACCTCGCTTTCTTGATGAGGTCATCCTGGTGGTGCCAGTGACAGTCAGGAGATGACAGTCAGGGACACCCGCCCCGAGCCTCCCGCCCCAGGGGGTGCCCCGGGTGGCGGGCGGGCCCAGCTCTGTTCTGCTTCAGGCAGGAGGTGTCAGTAGTTGGGCCTGGTGACACTGCTTTGCAGGATGCTCTTGATGGTGCCCAAGGAGGGAGCTTTGGAAGCAAAGAAGGACGTTTCCTTTCATTTCATTAGTGGATGTCTCTAGTGGGTCAAAAGAGATGTGAAAGTGATGAGCGTTAAAAAGTTACAGCGGCAGGTCTGTCAGTGGTTTTTTAAAATAGAGATGTGAAAACAACCAAATGGTTATCACCTTTCCCATAAAACTGGTTCTGGGAACAGCTAAAACTGAAAACCACGCCCTTGATTTTACTTTTACATGGCTTGTAATGTCCGGTTTCCGCCTTTTCTATGGGTTGCTCTTAGGGGGACATAATGGGTGGTCACCCCTCCCTCTCACATTATTTCTTCTACGTGAGGGTTTGGCCCAGAGGCAGTGGGACTGGGAAATTGCGATTCCATCTGGCTGCATTTTGGGGGAAGAGTCTTGGTATTAAATTCATAATTATTTATTAGCAGGGTTACTGACTTTTAAAAAATAAATATTCTGAAGGGTTTTATTTTTTTCCTCTTGATTTAATTGTGAGACTGTTACTCAGTTTCTAAATTTCCAAGTTTATTTTTATAAAATTGGAGGGGATACCAATTTTGTGCTTTTCAGATGTATAGTTCAAATATATTTTCAAGCCAGTGGGTTTTATGTGTGTATTATGCATTGTTCCTGCAAATCAAATTTACATTTTCTAATGTTATGAGAAGCGCTGTCAGTGCCTGCTATTCTGGCTTTGATGTTGGCAGGAGGACAGAGGATTAAGGCAGATGAGGGTGTTGGTCTGACTCCCTGTGTTCTGTGGGATCACAAGTAAAAGTCCTCCAAATCTGGGCGTTACTCTGGTGACATTAGCAGAAGCTGGAGTTCTCGCTTTTCAGAGCTTAGCACAACGCCTGCTGGAGTAACCAGCCGATTCTCTCCTGAATCAGCGTGTTGTGCCAGCGCTGACATACTGGTATGTGTGTGGCGTCTGCTGATTCAGAATTGCCACCGTGACCCAGATCATCGGCATCTGGGGAGAACCTCTGTATCTGTGCACGGTGTTTCTACTAGAGGTGGATTACAGCGGAGAGGCAGGAGCATCTGCTGAGAAGAGTGCACTTGGAGTTTATTAAGAGTGAAAGCAGCATTATCACAGCCACCATTTCCCGAATCAGACTGGTGTCCTGGGCACCGCGTGGACGGCGTCGCTACTTGACCTCCCGCATCTCAGGGGCCCCTTGCTCTGTGAGGGTGGGAACTTCAGTGGAGCACGTGGACTCTCTGCACTGAGATGCCCACTGCGTTCAGACAGACAGACTGCTCGGTGAGGCTGGCAAGAAGAGCAGCTCGAGATTAAAGGTGTTCAGGCGGTGCTGTTTTTAAGGCCGCGGTGCATTTTGACATTCAAGCCTGGAAGCACATATTCGGCTCCTGTCCTGGTCCTGGGAGTGGCTGTCTCTCAGGGGCTGGAGAGTTCTTTCCATGTATCAGCTGCAGGGAGTTCGTGTGTGCGGGGCCCTGTGGTGATGATGCCGCGCTCTTCATCTTAATGTTAAAATTTGCAAAGTTAGAGACGATACTGTTTTTACTGGGGGTGGGATGGTCAGAGATATTTTTCCTCCGGGAAGTGATGTACAAGGTCTTACTAAGAGTTGCTTCTTCTGGAGTGTATACTTGGGGGAGTGGGGGTTGCTGGGGAGGGGAGGGAGTAGGAAGAATCTTAGGCATTTTCCTTAAACACTTTTTTTCTTTTGTTCATTTCTAGTCTTTATAACCTGGCTTCACTGGAACTGAGAGAGAATCTACTTACTTATCTCCCTGAGTGAGTCTCTGGGGAGAAGGAGAGGGGGGTTTCATACTGAATAAATTTCCTGAAGCATTAAAAAAAAAAAAAACTACAGTAGCTTGTCAAAAAGAAGTTCTGTGTCTTTTGGAAAATTTGAGAGATGCCAGCCTTAATAGACTTCCTGTGCAGTATTTATGGCCATAAAATCCAGATGAGTCTTATTTTGGGAAACTAGTCCAAGTGAGGAATCTCATGTTGCTTGGCATTTCTAAGTCCCAAGAGCTCCTTCCCTTTGTAATTTTTTTTTTTTTTTTAATAGCTCCCTTACCCAGCTACGGAGACTAGAAGAACTTGATTTAGGAAACAATGAAATATATAATTTGGTAAGTCTGTACTGAAGAGAGATTTGAATTTCACCTTGTTCCTAGTTATGATCACAAAATATTTGGGGGGCATCTCTAGGGATGCTCTTAAGCCAGTGTTTCCACAGAGGCAGCTTGGCAACATTAGAGCATGCGCTTCGGTTCACACGGGTTACGGGTAATGATTGGGGGATGGAAGTGACGGCATGAGTGGAAGCAGCTGGCATTCCTGGGGAGTCTTGGGGATGCTTTTAGGGGAGGGGGTGCTGATTTTAGAGAAGTACCCACAAATCTCCGCTGTGATACTCCATTCCCAACTGCTGAGTGAAGGTCCTTCCATTCTTAATGGGAGGCTCAATACTGGAGCTTTGTTACCATAACATTGCTTGTTGTTTTAGCCAGAATCAATAGGAGCTCTCTTACATCTAAAGGATCTCTGGTTGGACGGAAATCAACTGTCAGAATTACCTCAGGTGAGTGGTAATTTCACAGTTTCCCTCCAAAACGCAAAAAGACCACCGTCACCCTCATGCATCCCCTGCTCCTCCATGAGATTTTCTAGAAAAGGGAGCTTGAACACTAAAGTGTTGGTTGTCAAAGCAGATTTGGAAAAATACGTTGAACATTCATCACGCCACATTGCCATAAAAAATTGAAAGCCTCAACCCACCATTTCTAAAGATAGTAAATATATCTTTTGGTGTGTGAAGTCTGCATTTTATTTCATCCTGGCTTGAGGCCTGGGTTGCCTGCTAGAAGCCTAGCTCATTTGGAAATTACCAGGATCGCAGATTCTGATGACAGAAGTTTCTGCCACTGTTGGTGATATGCCAAGTGTTTTGGGACGATTTGAGCACATTTTGCTGTGTAATAGTTGATTTAAAATCAGTGCAAAAAGTTGCTGCTTCATGTTTTTTCCAAATGTTGCTTATGGTGTAGCTGGAACGTCACATGTTGTTTACGTCTTTCCTGCTGTTACCAAGTGTGAGGAACCATGTTCCAAGTGAAACGGGGTCGTGTGGGCCTCTGTGTATGCGGTCAGCTTGTGGGTTCTAGCACGCAGACCCACCTTCCCACGAGTTGAGAGAGAAACTTGAACAAACAACAACACACAGGCATTTCCCCCAACTTTGTTTTTCTCCAGCTGTTACTGAATTCTACTCTTAGGGCCTCTTAGAGCCAGGGTTTAAAGTCCATGTATTTCATGATGGTCGCGGTCTGTGTACTGTATGGTAATTCAGGAACTGTCTCTGCTGGGCTCCCTGAACCAGCCATGATGGGACCGTGCCCTTTGGCTGGAGAAGGTGTATTTGTGCAAGGAAGTCTGGTGCTGTAAAAAAGCACTTGAGTAAAATTCTAGTTGTAGTTATGTGCTGGAATTGCCAGGATATCACCGACGACTCATGCAACTAAGGAGCTAATTCGAGTCTGTTTCTGAGGTTTTGGCTGCATTTGGGAAAAGGAAAGGGCAGATCAGCAGCTGATATGAGTCAGGGTTTGATTAACAGGTTTCTCTAGGAAGTTATGAAACATCCTGATTAAGAGAATTGTAGTTACTTAAAATAGTCAAAGGATGGGGCAGAAATGCCAGGAAGATATTAAGAAAGTAATAAAATACCAGCTATAAAGGCTGGATAAACAACAAGGCCTTACTGTGGAGCACAGGGGACTATATTCAGTACCCTGTGATAAAACAGAATGCAAAAAGAATATGAAAAGAATCCACATATGTATAACAAGTCACTTTGCGGTATAGGAGAAATTAACACGGCATACCTCAATAAAATAAAAAGCTCTTAGACATGCAGTGGACAGATACATGTAAACAACGATGTGCAAAATGTCACGTCCTAAACACAAAGAAATTAACCTGCCACTGATCATGTTACTCATTTTTTTTTATGCATATTTTTTTTCTCTTTGGTCCACTTGTATAACCTTTTATTGAGTCAGGACTAAACTCATCAGACAGTCTCAGATAATCAGTTATTTTCCTGTCTTCACTGATGACAGAAAGAAAAGGAGACAAAGACACTGTTTAAAGGAATAAATTTTAAAAGTAGACTATCCTCAGGGAGCCTGGCCTGAAATGAGTAGAAAGATGAGTAGAAAAAATGGTTTCCTCCAGGCAGGAAATGCAGGGGTGGGGTCCCAGGGTGTGTGTTGGTGGGGGGTAAGCTGGGTAGAGTTGTTCAGGCCAAATTCGGTGCTGATTTAGGAGTCTGTGCTCACATAGACTTCAGGGGGCCACTGGAGTTCGAGGTGGAGTTTCATTCCTGGCCTGGAGCGATGTTTCCAGGGGGAAGGATGGAGGCACAGTTGTGAACAGACTTGGGCAGAGGGTGTCCAGACCTGTCCAGGCGGGAGGGTGCTGAGTGTGGGAGGGAACAGGCTGGCAGCCGGTCGGGAAAGGGGGCAGCGGTAAGAGGGAGCATGTGTCGGGAGAGTGGAGGGTCCGACGCCTCTGGACTGCAGCTCGGGCCCCAAGGAGGTGCCTCCCCTCCCGAGCCTGCTCTTCCCTTTCCGAGCGGTCTGGCGCTCTTGTCTCAGGTATTAACAGAGAGAGAGCGTGTGTGTATGTGTGTATTAATAGTGTGTGTGTGGGGGGTGTGTGTGTATGTGTGGCTCTGTTGTCTTGGGTATTAACAGTGTGTCTGTGTGTGCCCATGTGTGCGTGTGTGTATTAATTGCGTGTGCATGTGTGTATTAATGTGTGTGTGTTTGTGTGTGCCTGTGTGTGCATGTGTGTATTAATAGTGTGTGTGCCTGTGTGTGCGTGTGTATATTGTGTGTGTGTCTATGTGTGCCCGTGTGTGTGTGTGTGTATTAATAGTGTCTGTGTGTCTGGTGTGCCCGTGTGTGCGTGTGTGTATTAATTGTGTGTGTGTGCCCTTGTGTGCATGTGTTTATTAATGTGTGTGTGTCTGTGTGTGCCCGTGTGTGTGTGTGTATTAATAGTGTCTATGTGTTTGTGTGTGCCCATGTGTGCATTAATTGTGTGTGTGTGTGTGTCTGTGTGTGCCCATGTGTGCGTGTGTGTATTAATAGTGTGTGTGTGTGCCCATGTGTGCATGTGTGTATTAATAGTGTGTGTGTGCCCATGTGTGTATTAATTGTGTGTGTGTCTGTGTGTGCCCATGTGTGCATGTGTGTATTAATAGTGTGTGTGTGTGTGCCCATGTGTGTATTAATTGTGTGTGTGTCTATGTGTGCCCATGTGTGCATGTGTGTATTAATTGTGTGTGTGTCTGTGTGTGCCCATGTGTGCATGTATGTATTAATAGTGTGTGTGTTTCTGTGTCCATGTGTATCTGTGTGTGTGCCCATGTGTGCGTGTGTGTATTAATAGTGTGTGTCTGTGTGTGCCCGTGTGTATTAATTGTGTGTGTGTGTCTATGTGTGCCCATGTGTGCATGTGTGTATTAATAGTGTGTGTGTCTGTGTGTGCCCGTGTGTGTGTGTGTGTATTAATAGTGTCTATGTGTCTGTGTGTGCCCGTGTGTGTGTATTAATTGTGTGTGTGTCTGTGTGTGCCCATGTGTGCATGTGTTTATTAATAGTGTGTGTGTGTGCACATGTGTGTATTAATTGTGTGTGTGTGTCTATGTGTGCCCATGTGTGCATGTGTGTATTAATAGTGTGTGTGTCTGTGTGTGCCCATGTGTGCGTGTATTAATTGTGTGTGTCTGTATGTGCCCATGTGTGCATGTATGTATTAATAGTGTGTGTGTTTCTGTGTCCATGTGTATCTGTGTGTGTGCCCATGTGTGCGGGTGTGTATTAATTGTGTGTGTGTGCCCATGTGTGTATTGTGTGTGTGTGTGTATGTGTGCCCATGTGTGCATGTGTGTATTAATTGTGTGTCTGTGTGTGCCCATGTGTGTGTGTGTGTGTATTAATAATGTGTGTGTCTGTGTGTGCCCATGTGTGCATGTATATATTAATAGTGTGTGTGTTTCTGTGTCCATGTGTATCTGTGTGTGTGCCCATGTGTGCGTGTGTGTATTAATAGTGTGTGTGTGTGCCCGTGTGTGCGTGTGTGTATTAATTGTGTGTGTGTGTCTGTGTGTGCCCATCTGTGTGTGTTTATTAATTGTGTGTGTGTGTCTGTGTGTGCCCATGTGTGTATTAATAGTGTGTGTGTGTGTGTTTCTGTGTGTATGTGTGCGTGCACATGTGTGTGCACGCTCCAGTTTCCCCGGGGAGCAGCTGAGCCCCTGTTGTACCACGTGCTGCCTGTCACGGCAGATAGAAAGGAGTTGGCTTCCTCCAGGACTTCGCAGGCTGTTCTGAGTATTGAGCCCAATACTGGAGAACTGGTGTCTGGCCGCTTTTTTTTCCTTCATGCCCAAACTGTGGGGACTTCAAGCGACTGGTTTTCTCCCGGCGCCCGCGTCCTCACCTTACTGAGGGGATGACTCCCCACCTGCCTGCAGGCGGAGGGCCTGGCCTCCCTTCCCAGAACCGTATGTGTGATTCATACAGCTTCCCGTTTTCATTGGAAGGGGGTCTGGAAACACCCCTGCTGTCACCTTCGGCCAGCGCTGGAGAAACATCCTCAGGAGCACTCTGCGGTTTGATCTGGAGAAATCAGTATAAGAAATTCCTCCATACGGTGACTGGTTCCGGCGTGACCTTCTTTCCCTGTGTCCTTGATGCAGGAAATAGGGAATCTGAAGAACCTGCTCTGCCTAGACGTCTCTGAAAACAGGTTGGAAAGGCTCCCGGAAGAGATCAGCGGCCTGACTTCATTGACGGATTTGGTCATTTCGCAGAACTTGCTAGAGATGCTCCCAGACGGCATCGGTGAGTATGGCGCCAGCTGCCACCGTTCTGGCTGTTGGGTGCTGGGGCGTGGTTCCTTCAGTCATTGGCTTTTGAAGAAGGAAAGCAAGGAGTATTTAATACAGTTTAAATTTCTCTATATGCAAGCATTTCTGTTTTCCTGGTCTGGTAGCAGGTATATTGGATATATATTACTACTTTCATGTGTTGACCTGTGTACTTCCTCTGCAGCTTGTGTTCATGATTTTGGTGGGGATCAGCCCAAATCATAGAATGTGTTTTGGGCATATGAACAGTTATCAAGACTTTTCTAATTGAGCATCGCAAATAGTTTATGCGGAATGACCTTTGACTTCATGGTGTGACCCTCAGGAAGGGCTGTTACTGGAGGGGGGTGGGCACATTGAGCCTTTTCTGGTCCATCGGGAATCATCTTTTCCTTGAACCATTCTGTGCTGTTTCCTTTAAAAAACAGTCCAGACGTTTCCTTTACCGAAAAGGATCTCAGCCCAGGGTGAGAAAATAAACACACAGAAGATAAAAACAGACGTGGGCTGTCAGCTCTGCCATAGCCAGGCCTTCCTAGAAACTGTAGGAAACTATATTTAACCTGTGTGTGGCTGTCATAGGACAGCTTCTCTGACCTTCACTTAACTTGCATTCTAAACATCAAAGGGCCTTTGGGAGAGGTTTTCAGTAGTCGGAGAAACTGTGTAATGGGGCCGGCTTCCTTTCTGGCATCTGGTCCAGATGAAAGGGTCGCTGATAAGAGCGGCTTGGCAGAAGGAAAGACAGATGCTGTCTTTCAGGTGAGTCTGGTTGGGGAGCTGATGGGGACTGTGACTCTAGGTGGGAATGTCTGGTAGGAATCACGTGTAGCATCAGAGCAGCTGATGCTGCTCTGGGATGTTTGGGGACTCAGGATGTTTGGCTGCTGGGAAAGGGGAGAAATAGGCATGAGATGGCTGACATCAGACCTCTGAAGGGCTGTCAGGTAGAAGGAGGCGTCGACTCATTCTATCTTCTAGTTCAAGAGGGTACAAGGAAAAGGTTGTGGATCTCAGTTTGATTTAAGAAAGAGCTTAACCTGCATCTCTCAGGAATCAGTGTGGGCTGGTTAGTGAAGAAATGAGCCTCCTGGCACTGGAAGTATTCAGGGAGAGTCTGCAGGCCCACTTGTGAGTGGTGGTGTTGAGGAGTCTCTTGGGGTGAGCTCTGCCAGCTGTACGTTCCATGCCCCAGAGACGATGCTGACGAGTCCATGGCCTGAGGACTTGGGGGCCCTCTGGGGACAGTGTTAATAGGTACTGACTATGCTGAATGAGGAGCTTATGATTTGGTGAGCTCCCCTGCCCTGCCCCATGACCGCACTCAGAGCGAGTTCATCCTTTCAGCGTCTCCCCGTCTCCAGCTTTATCGCTTCTGTGATAGAGGCTGTTCTCTGACTGTCCTGAGGATAGTGATGTCACGCTGGCCACTCTCTGTGGATACCAAGGACACCTGCTGGGTAGGCTCAGCTCCCATGCAGGAGTAGACAGTGAGACTCTGATGGCTCGGGGTCTCCTCCAGCCCATGGAGGCTACAGAGGCTGCAGTAAACCGGCTCTTACCCTGTGGCCTGAGGGCACCTCTCATGAGTCTATTCTGCACCCTGAGTGAAACAGACCTGTCTTAATGTGGCTTTCCAGAGATTACCATCTGACCCTGCAGGCACCGAGATTTCCCTTGTAGGGATCCTCACTGACTCATCCACAGATGATAGAATAGATTGCCACGTGCTGTCTTTTGTATTTAGCGAGGATGACTCTTGTGTGTATTAGTTGTTCAGTTGTGTCTGACTCTTTGTGACCCCATGGACCATAGCCCATCAGGCTCCCCTGACCGCAGAATTCTCCAGGCAAGAGTCCTGGGGTGGGTTGCCATCTCCTTCTCCAGGGGATCTTCCCAACCCAGGAATCGAACCCAGGTCTCCTGCATTGCAGGCAGATTCTTTGCCATCTGAGCCAGGATGATCCTTAGAGTAACATAAAAGTCTCTCCTCTGTACACAAGACGTTTCCTGTTCTTAAATCTCTATCAAGAGCCAACTCTGTTTTTTCCTGAAATCTATGGGCTTTGACATGATGTTTTTAGGTAGCAACTTTTTAACTGATTCGCCATTAATTGTCTACTGTTTCTGACAAGCAGAACACATTATTTTAACTCTCAACCTTTTGTACTCTAAATGCAAATAGCACAATTTCTTGAAGCTGGGAGAGGAAACCAAACGAGAATGGAAATTCCAAACAGCAAGCAGAGGGGAAATGCCAAGTGGTGACCAGAAAAACAGCAATAACTAATGAGCCTAAATAATTTTTACAGGGAAACTGAAGAAACTGTCGATCTTGAAGGTGGACCAGAACCGACTCACCCAGTTGCCTGAGGCGGTTGGAGACTGTGAGAGCCTCACGGAATTGGTTCTCACGGAAAACCGGCTCCTGGTGCGTGTGGCCTCAGGGTCAGAGGGAGAGGTGGTGTGGGTTTCGCATCAGCAGTGCTTTGCAGAGTCGATTCTACATATTTGTAATTTGGGTGGACCAGATGGCTAACCCCGGGGCCTGAGAAGCAGACTCGGGACATACAGATGATCCCAGTCTCCCCGTCAGAGACCGCCCCATCGTGATGGTCAGGGTATGGACACCTGGGGACGGGAGGCGGGGGGACTGGCCCGGCTGGTGGAGGTGCCTCTGCCCATGTCTGAGGGTGGGCCAGTGGGAACCGTGGTCTGTCTGGTTCTTGGAGCAAATATGAGCGCAGGGGAGGGATGGGGGCTGGCCCCGGGAAGCCTTGGGGACACTGTGGGGGAGATGCTCTTTTGGGGAGCCAGAGCACGCTCTGACCTTGATCTCACCTGTCCAAGAAGCTGGGTGAGGCTGAGCAGGTGCCTGGGCTTGGACCGGCACGCCCCATCCTCCCGGCGGCGCCTGCAGAGCGGGCTTCTGGGGCGGCTGTGCTCCACCCACTGCCGCTCCCGCCCGCCCCCATTGCTCACCCTGCTCTCCCCCCGGCCCCCATCCTGGCCTTGCAGCGTCTGTTGTCTTTGGTTTACTCTCCTGCCATTCCCTCCACTTCTCCATCTTCATTTTGTCACTTTAGTTTTGCCGGATTTCTCCTTTTACCTCTTTTTCCCCCTTTCTCCTCTCTTTATAGAAGGAGTAAGTAATGCTTTTTTGGGGAGCAGAGTAGAAGATGACAGCAAGAGTGGGTGAAGGGGGCGGAGCTGCTGGGGGCCTGGGAACATCCCCCTGTAGTCAGCACAGAGGCCTCCTTCCTTGTTTCCGGAAGGAATCTGTTAGAATTACAGATGGTAGTCGTGACAGTTAGACAAGTGACTTCACCCCTGGATTGCATCAGGGTTGAAGATCCTCCTCTCCCCATGGACCCAGAGCCAGTTCCCACAGGGCTGGAGCGCTCACACCAGCTGGGGCGGTTCCCTCCCCCCACCCCCGACACACACCCCCAGCTCCGGCTCCCACCGCCTGCATTCTTGCCCTCACAGGCATCTACAAACTAGCATCTCTGTGGTTCTCAGAGGTGCAGGCATGGGAGGGGTGAATGTCAAGCGTGCAAATTTCACTTCCTTGATTTGAAGGGCCTTCGCTACCTCTGTTGCTGGGTGTTTCTCTGTTCCCAGGCCTCTGTCTGACCTCATTTCATTGAAACAAACTCTCATTTCTACAAAAATGCAAAATACTAGATGCCACATCCCCAAGTGAGCATTGCAAACACCTACTGTTGAGGAAGGGCTTCTCTTGCTGGATGAGATTAGACCCTCTCAGTTCTTGAAAAGATGTGTTTTATCTGTTTTACTCTGAGCCATGTCTAGAGTATGTGTTAATAACAAAAATGTTATTTTAACAGACTTTACCTAAGAGCATTGGAAAACTTAAGAAGTTGAGCAACTTGAATGCAGACAGAAATAAATTAGTGTCTTTACCGAAAGAGGTATGTGCTTTTAAGAAAATAATAATAAAGAAATAATGATATACAAGGGATCAGAGATGTCAAATACTTATGTGCTGCTTTTTAAAGGTGTGAACCCTCGTCTGTGGGTCTAGAGATGGTCGGAGGAATGGTATCAAAGAATGACCATCGGTAACATTGGGGAGAGTAGGTGGGTCCAGATGGCTGTGAGCGGAGTTGGGAAAGGTGAATTCGGAGGGGGACAGAGAGAGTGGCATTTTGGGGCCGGCCTAGAAGAAGAGCAACACCGTTGACAGGAAGGGGTGATTGTGGACTTGGCTTTGGGGGTGATTGGGTCCAGTGAGCAGGTAAGCCCTCCCATGCGCCATTGGAGTTGTGAAGATGGGTCTCGGCGGACCGTCTTCCTGGGCAGAGGCTCATGTGTGGGAGAGGGAGAGGGAGCCCGCCACGTAGAGGCAGGTGCCTGGGAAGGTAGAGCCCGTTCTTAAGATTTTTTTGGTCAGTGCTCCCAGCAGGAAAAAAGAGCCTCCACCCCTTGTGGGCGCGGCTGCATGACTTGGAGGCATTTAACCAAGGAGGGGCCGGAAGTGAGAATGGGAGGAAGCCTTGAGGGGTCACACGAGGTGGCATCGGGGTGCTGTTTAAAAGAAAGGCTGTCTTTCTCCTCGGAGCCGGGAGAACCTGCCTGGAGATGGGCCGCACCGAGCTTGGCCTCTAAGTGTAAGATGCTGTTCCTCTGCCGTGCAGCAAGCTGCTGAGCCGCTTCCCCCGCCAGGGCCGCACCGGAGGAGGTGTGGTCCCTGGCGCTGTGGTCCCAGCCCGGAGCAGCTTCTCGCTTCCTTCTCTGCTTGACCCTTGTCAACATCCTTCTTGCAGTCATTTCAGAGCTGTTCTCCAAGCAGCGGGAGCTTGAGGGGCTCACGCTCCCCGGCCGCTTCTGCAGGTGTCTCACCTGGCCTGGTCTTTTTTTCCTCGTTCCTGTCGTGCTCAGCAGCCTGGCTTCTCCGTGGGTGAGGCGGCCGGCGCTCCTGAGCGGAAGGGTAGGGATGTTTGTTACAGATTTGACCGCATTCTCTCAGAGCCACCATCGGGACCCTAACATTTAAGTAAAACTGTTTCCAGCACAAAGACTTAAGTCTCCATCTTCGCTAAACTGGGACTCATGGAGAAGATTCTGCTCATTAAATCCTCATTTTGGTTCCAGCGTAAAAGCATTAAACCGAAGGACAGGGCTGGTGTTAATTGTACTCTTGTGGGACAGCTGGTGCAGGCGGGTGTAGGTCAGACGCACAGGCACAGGCAGAGAGGAGGAAGATCCAGGCCCTCCCTCCTCAGCGCCCTGCGCTGGACCGGGTGCTTCCCTGCTCGTTGAGGGAATCGGCAGGGCCGCTTTTGAGGCCATGAGGCTCTGGATCTCCCTGCTTTACAGACGAGGATGCTGAGGCTGGCGAGAGCGTTCCCACGGGGGCTCCCGCAGCTGGAGTCTGGAGAAGAGACTCTAGATGTGTCCCCCACGGCCAAGCCCGTAAAAGCCTGGCTGCTCAGCTCATAGAGATTCAACCCCACCTTTTCACTTCTGTGACCTTGACATGAGGCAACCCCTACTTCCATAAAGGAAGTGTAGTTTGGACACTTTAGAAAACTAGTGCATTTGAGGAAAGTTTTCAGTAAACCCTGAAGAGGGCACTTTGGAGTATGACGTTAACCCCCAGCAAGGCCCCTGCCCTCCCCACATCCCTGGCGCTCTCTGCATCGGGTCTTTCAAAGGGACACATTGTAGACAAGAAGGTAAGTAATTGCTTACCTTAAACTGTCCCTGTCATAGTAGCACCAGCCCTCTTTTCACTCTGAGAGGATGAAATTATGATGCTTTCCTGGCATCTGGGATTTCATCAGGGAATGGCGTTTGTGCCTTTTCCTTCAGCTGCCCAAGAAGGCAGCTGTTTAGGGCCCTGGGGACGGGCTCCTTTCTTGCTCATTTCACCCTCGCTCACACTCGGCTCCCAGACTGGGATGTGTCCCAGTTCTGCTGTGAATCCCAGCTCAGTGACCCTGCAGAAACGGGCAGTGCTGGCCTCTGACCCGCGGACTGGGCAGACAAACCATGGAGGGGCGCTCCCCTTGCGCTGGGTCTCCTTTGTTGGTCTGGGGTGTGCATGTGTGCATGTGTGTGCGTGCGTGTGTGTGCATGTTCTCTGCCTCCAAGCTTGATACCATCCCATCAAATCCTGCACTTTCCTGATTGGATTCTTCTCTCTTCTCTTTTCAGACGTGATTACTTCCTCTTAAACAGTTGTCTCACTCACGCATGACACATTTAAACTGACAATGCCAGCCAACTCCATGTATATGCGCCCAATCCATAATTGTATTAATGGCCGTTGGTCTGGTGCACTGTGTAGCTCTTCCTCTTTGTCTTTCTTTTCTTTCCCATTTGATAACGTCACATACTGTCCATTTTACAGCACAGTTCCTGTGTCTATAGCAGCATTTCTTTTCACTTTTTCCCCATATGGTTGAGGGGAAAATGTTTGTACTGTGTGGGTCACAATAATAGATTCTGTTTGTGTTGTGTGGTGTCACATGCAGTAAACATTTGCAAATCAATGAATGTCTCTTGTTTTCTTAATTGTTAGCTGCTTGGATATTTAGAAAAGTCAGGTAAACTTGCCATCTTGTAAGTATTGTTCAGACCACAGTTTAACTCCAGCTTCCATTCTGCTTCTCAGATGCATGAAGATTCAGATTGGCTGACCACTGTATGCGCTTTTCATTGTAAAACATTGGACATTTTCCTCAAAACTCAGTTTTTCTTTTCGTGAATGACTGCATGGCCTGGAACCTAATTTTGTTACATATTTGTCCGATTTGCTCCAGTTATTCTCTCTCAAAAGAATGCTTTTCTGTGAATTGCATCTTAAGTTTTTCAGAAATTTTGAAAGGCATAACTTGGCGGCTCACCTGCCTTCACCAAGTTCTAGTTTATTGGCATGATTCTGTCTCCAATGGGAAGGCTAGATTCGCTTTATTTGCTACATGTGGCATGCTTCTAATTTTTCAGGTCACTCATTTGCATCTTTTACCCCTCATCTTACTGCTCAAGTATGTATGTTTCTGTGATAAGGAAGTTCCCTTAAAAAATCCTGGTTTTGGTGGAGGGAAGACTTATGGGGAAGAGGCTGTTGTAGCGTGATTCGTGGACAGACAGGAGGTTGGTAAATGTGTGATCACACATATGAAGATACATTTCCGGCCACATCTTACCTCTCAGTAACTTTGACCACAGAGGTTTCTGGCTGGAAGATTTTGTGCATATACCTAAGTTTAGGACTTGGTCTTTTTTCTCTATTAAGTCAAAATGGAAGTGACTCTCACGCCATCATACCTGTCCAGTGAAATCAGACAAGGGAGGATTTGCAGATCATTCATCACAAGTTTTCCTCTAACAGGCAATCTGTAAACATCAATTACCCACAAGTATTGTGATATTCAGAAAGGTCCATGGTGATAGAGTATTCATTTTGTGGGTAACTTCCTGCCTGATTCTTCAGTTCAGTTCAGTCGCTCAGTCGTGTCCAACTCTTCGCAACTCAATGGATTACAGTGTGGACTTCCTGTCCATCACCAACTCTGGAGCTTGCTCAAACCATCGAGTCAGGGATGCTGTCCAACCGTCTCATCCTGTGTCGTCCCCTTCTCCTCCTGCCTTCACTCTTGCCCTGCATCAGGGTCTTTTCCAATGAGCGAGTTCTTTGCATCAGGTGGCTAAAGTATTATTCTTAGTACAATTTAAAATTCTTCTAGATTAAATTCCCATGATGATGTAAAGTGAACTATTGATAAATAAAAGAGATAAAACAAAACCTAAAAAAAAAAGCTGACTGTTGGATTTCAAGATGGAGAAGGCATTTGTATACTTGGAAGATGAAGTAAGTCATAAAAGAAACAGTTGATGGATTTATCTACATGAAGATGAGATTTCTGATCTTTGTGAAAATAAAGACAGCTGGAAGTCAGGGAGACTTTTACAACATTGCATATGAAGGCTGTCTTTCCTTACTCTGTTAGAAGTTATTTCACATCTGAGAAGAGATGTACCTACTCTAGAACAGTGGACAGAAAGAAAAGCAGAGAAACCCCACAGAAACCAGTAAGTGATTCACAGGAGAAAAAAACTGAAATGGGCTTTTAATGTGAAATCATTATTTACAACTAGAATCTAGATTGCCGGGAGAAAAATCAAAAACCTCAGATATGCACATGCCACCACCCTTATGGGAGAAAGTGAAGAAGAACTAAAGAGCTTCTTGATGAAGTGAAAGAGGAGAGTGAAGAAGTTGGCTTAAAGCACAACATTCAGAAAACTAAGATCATGGCATCCGGTCCCATCACTTCATGGCAAATAGATGGAGAGACAGTGGAAACAGTGACAGACTTTTTTTTCTTGGGCTCCAAAATGCCTGCAGATGGTGACTGCAGCCATGAAAGTAAAAGATGCTTGCTCCTTTGGAAGAAAAACGGTGACAGACCTAAACAGCATTTTAAAAAGTAGAGACATTATTTTGCCAACAAAGGTCTGTCTAGTCAAAGCTATGGTTTTTCCAGTAGTCATGTATGGATGTGAGAGTTGGACCATAAAGAAGGCTAAGTACCAAAGACTTGATGCTTTTGAACTGTGGTGTTGGAGAAGACTCTTGAGAGTCCCTTGAACTGCAAGGAGATCAAAGCAGTCCATCCTAAAGGAGATCAGTCCTGGACATTCATTGGAAGGACTAATGTAGAAGCTAAAGCTCCAATGATTTGGCCACCTGATACGAAGAACTGACTCATTAGAAAAGACCCTGATGCTGTGAAAGATTGAAAGCAGGAAGAGAAAGGAAAGACAGAGGATGAGATGGTGGGATGGCATCACCAGCTCGATGGACATGAGTTTGAGCAAGCTCCAGGAGTTGGTGATGGAAGCCTGGCATGGTGTAGTCCGTGGGGTCACAAAGAATGGACATCACTGAGCAACTGAGCAA